CGATACCACCGCAGCAGCCAGAAGTTCAGCAGGCCCTGAGCTGGGGCGCCGTGTTTTGATAACACAACACTGCAGGACGGGAGAAGGGAAGCATGGCTAATGGAGAGCGCACCAGGAATTTCGGCGTGTTGACTCTGGCATTTAAGGCGACTGTTCCACCACCACAGCCCAGCGGGAAGCATCCCCAAACCTGTTGTCAAGAGCTGTGATCTTTGATGGATGTTGAGCTTGTGAAAGCTGGAAATATCTTTGCTGGAGGTGGCAGGTATTTGCTTTGGCTGAGGGGGGAGGAAAAAAAAAAAACAACAAACAAAACCAAAAAAAGAATGCTGTTTTCTCTTTCCAAGAAAGTATGAAGGAGGAAGGAAAAAATAAAGAAAGCAGTCTTTTCAGTTGTGACAGGACAGTGTTATGCTATGAGTACATAAACTTGGCATTTGAAAACTGTAGTTGTATTGTAGCAATATTTGATGCTAAATTTCTGTCTCTTTTGGCAAAAGTAACCAAAGAATTCTAATTAAAGTGGCTTAATTGTATACACACTCACTTAAATTATTCAGAGACGGGTATGCTTCGCCAGACTGTTATGTGGCTTTCAAGCACCCCACTGTGCTTTCCAGTTAGTCCCATCCCTGTTACTCCTGCTTCCTTGTCTGATCAACTGTCCAACCAATTTCACGTTTGCAAAAGTGTGCTTTGCTGGCAGAGGTTTTTGCTCCTGCAGAGGGTCAGGCCGGGGCTGGAGCCGCCTGCTCGCTTCTTCAGGTGCATGCTGGTGCCTCTCCCCAGAGACGAGTGCCAGTGCAGGGTGCTGTGCACTCCCAGGCCCTCCAGTCCGCTGTATTCTCATAATTCTTCCAGCCCACCCGTGGGATCTCCTACCTGCAGCAGAACTTTCCAAGTCATCCTTTGAAATCCACACCAGGTCAGGCTCTGCCACCAGAACAAATCCAAACGGCCTGAAGGCAGGGAGACTATTTCCTTCTGGCTAGGTGCTGGATCCATGCTGGCCAGGGGATGCTCCAGGGAGAAAGGAGGGAGCCCCGCAGGAGCAGGGCAACGAAACAGGAAGAAACGGAGCATTGAAGTGACTGCAAATAAAAGAGGTGGCCACACGATGGCAGCAACCAGCCGGGCCCTGGCCGCGGCGCTTGCCCTAAACCACCCGCTCTGCCCCATCCGAGCCGGTTGCATGCGAAAGGAGCTTTGCTGTGTTGGCAAAGGCACCCTCCTGCTTGTTGCCCCTCTCAATTAGTAAAGACAGCTTAAGCTGCGTAGTTGCCACATCCGAGCGAGACGGATTTAACCAAAGATTCCCCAAGAAGGTGGAATGCTCCAGCCCTTTGACTAAACAAAACAGAACAAAAAACCCAAACGAACAAAACCCCCAACCAAACAAAAAACAAACCCAAACCACCACAGTTCTGCAGCTCTATAAGGACACTTCTGGCAGCTGCACAGTCCCCTGCCAACCTGAAACACCCTCTCCCAGCCACCCCACTGAGTCTTAGGAGACCTGGAGGCACTCGGCCAGGGCCAAGAGATGCCACCTCCCACTGCAAAGGCAAAGGCTGAGGTCGCACAGCTTTCTGTCACAGAGGGGAGCATCCAGCACATCTTACAAAAGGAAGTGTCAATAAACTCTTTCGAGTGTCCCTTTGCATCCCTCCCAGCCATGGCACGTGCAAAACATTGAAGAAAACCCACAATATGCACAGGGCAGCTGATGATTTGGCTTCCTGCAGCCGTGGCAAGCACCGAGTCATGCCCAGGCTTCCCAGTCACTGACAGCCTCTCACCTCCCCACGTCTGTCGACACGGGCCCATCACTGCTGCTCAGGGCCCGCAGGACAGGGAGGAATTCTCCAGGGGAGGGAAACTGATACCTTGTGAATGCCATCTTGCGGGGAATCCAGCAGAGCATCTGCAGCAGGCTGAGCTGTGTCGGGACATGGGAGCAGTCCCCAAGGTCTCGGAGCCCCCCGCACTAGCAGGCACCGGCACAAAAACTCCATTCCTTCTACTTGGAAAATAGATTTACTCTCCAAAGCACTCGGTACTTTTTAATTACAAGCAGGGCTTCACCCCAAACCACGTCTTCGGCTGTGATGTATCAGCTGGAGCTCCAGGGGTACCGATGGATCTAAACAGAGTAGGGTTTGGGTGAAAACACCCTGTTTTTACAAGAGGATGCTGGCGGTCGTACTGCCACTCAACTCTACAGCAGAATGGCATCTGGCATCATAGAACCTGGCTTTTCAGAGACACCCACTGGCCTGACACAGCCAGTAGTGCAACAAGAGGCCAAAAATGTACAGCCAGAGCCGATGTTGCAGCAGAGGCCCTGAACTGTGGGTGGAAAGCACAGTCTGGACTTCAGGAGATGCTTTTTCCTGAGGATGGTTGTGCAGGGCTGCAACAGGTCCCCCGAGGAAGGGGGAGGAATCCCTGCCAGTGAAGGCTTTCGAGGCTCAGCAAGGCAGAGCCCTGATGAGCTAGTGCTGGCGGCTCACCCGCTCTGAGCAGGACCCCCAGGAGCCCCTTCCCACAGAGTTCCCGTGCTTCCGTGACTTACAGGGCGAAGCAAAGCCTGACAGTACTTCTACCAGAGTGGCACCACGTCGCACAGCCAGAGGAAGGCTACGCCACTCTGTGATCACCTCCAGAGCCAGCTGCGGGCTAGCCTCTCTGCTGCACGCTGGCTGTTCCTCTGCCTGCCTTAGTCTCAAATTTCAAACCAACTTTTGGCCAAGAAAGCGGAAATTTTCCCAACCAGAACCATTTCTGCTGAACACAGTTGGTGGTGCTGGACGACAGCAGCTTGAGTGTTCAGACGCAACGTATTTTTCTCGCCAGGCTCTCGGTTTCTGGCCAGCTTGCTCATTAGCACTGTTTTCTAATAGGATTTTTACTAGCTGCTGATAAACATAGACACCACAATCAATCCTGAAGCCTAACAGGTTCAACCAGTATTCATCAGGCTTCATACGCTGGTTTGGCATCACTGGCTTCTTCTTGGAGCTTGTCTTCCCTCTCCTTTTCCAATAGCAGGTAGGATTCAAGCCTTACATTAATTTTCTTCAGCCCATTTCACTTAGAAGTTTGTCCCAGGTGCTTCTGTCTGCTTTTGACTGATGTCTTCAAGATGAAGACAGAATAATTTTTTTTTTCTTTTCTTATTTTCACCACCCATATTGTGCCGCTCATTATACAAACTGAATTACAATTTCTTGTAGCAGCTAAGGATATCTCTAGTTGGGCTCTCATACAAAGATGAGCAGCCAGCTCCTATATTTGTTGGAGCAACAACATACCTGGGCAGAATGAAGAACCGCTGCTTCAGATCAGTTCATGAGTGGCATAAAGGTGGCTCAGGGAAACACAGCCCCACTAGTCAGAAAGTTGCAGTTGGTGCTTAAAAGCATCTAAACAACATTTTCTGAAGGATCTTTCTTCTTTCATGTCCTTCTAGCCAGATACACAGGAAGACAATACCCTTTAAACTCTTCTCCTGGAAAAAAAAAAAAAAAAAGAAAAATATCCAAGACCCTGGGAACTGAAGAGAGCAAGTATTTTAGCACCATCCTAACTTAGGGCTGTTTGCACAGAGGACAGCCTTTGTGCAGTCAGAGGAGGAGCTCCCCGTCAGAAAGCATCGCTGTCAGGTTGGGTGCGACAGGCATCCTCCATCTAGCTGAAGCGGTTTCACCTGTGAAAGCCTTCAGCGGTCTGTGACGGGTTCTCAGGTGGAAATCACCATCAGCAGGTCGAGGGAGCGCTCCTGGAGAGCTTCAGCGCCGGCTCGGTCGGTGCGGGTCCAACCACGGCCCAAAGTGGTTGGAGGCTCTCGAGCTGACGCGATGCCACGGTGGGTTAGGATGGGAACACGTGGCCGGCGCCAGCAGCAACGAACGGTGGAGGGTGATAATATCTCAAGTAATTATAGCTGTTTCTGAAGGGTTTGTGCAGTAGCAATACCTCGGCGCACGTATGAACCAGCACTCCACAACACTTCATGTCTTAAGTGGATTTTTCACCAACAGAGTGGCAGGTACATCACCTCGTTCCCTGATTTTAGTTTTTTTTATGCAGCTGCCCTCAGCACCAGTCCCCCGAGAGCAATAAATGCCGAGATGGTGCATTGCAGGAGGGTTGCCTGAGAAAGAAAGTGCTGAAAGAAGAACACCATCAATTTGGTCGCCTGCCTTGTTGCAAAAGGAGCTAAATCTTGCCTAGGCAAAGCCAAACTCCTCCTAAACAGAAGCAGCAGCAGCGCACTGTCTCCTCCGAGTGCCATGAGAGATGCTGCAGGGGTTGGATACCTTGGACAAAGCCAGCCTGCGGGCCCGCACTCACCTTCCCTGCTGCCTAGTAAAGCTCAGGAGCTTCGGCACTGCTGCTGGCTGCCCACGTTCAATTAGCCAGCCTGTCTGGAGAGCAAAGTCCTGCCAGTCCTACACGGCGAAGTCTGCAGGGAGAAGCAGCAGACGTGCAGGTGGAGCGACGTGGCTGTCCCACCTACACGTAACCCCATTTCCATTTAACCCAGCAGTGCTCACATTGCAAAGGTCTTTGGTCTCCTGTTGGGAGATGTGGAAAGCACCATCGATCCTATCTTACAGGGCTTCACTCTCCCTCCAGATAAACACACACACATTCTCACACACCCATGAAGAGCTGCTGGTGATAAAAGAGAGCTGTCCCCCATGGCCAGGCCTGCAGGTTGCCTCCGGGAGGCTAAAGGTCTGTCCACTCCTTGCCCTGCTCTGCTCTTTATTTCACACACAGCAGGAAATTTGGAAGACAACCTCTTTTTTTTTATTTTTTAATTTTTTTTTTCCCCCCCTCTTTTTTAAGATTCTCAGTCTGATTCAGAGTCTGTCCAAGGCACTTGGCAAAGCCTTAGAGTGATGTTGGCTTGACTGGGAACAACACTTTGGAAATGTTGGCTGCCTCTCCTGCCAGGACGGAGCCGAATTACCCCCCAGGACCTACTTTATTTAAGAGCAACCCACAGCAATGCTGTTGGAGAGTGCAAGGGAATCCGGACCAGTTACTGGCCTTTCTGCTATACCCAGGAAAGGCAGCTCTTCCTACCTCAGAAACTAAAGCAACAAAACCACCAGAAAGCAGATATAAGGAGAGCTGTCAGACCCGGCTTACACATAACAGCCTTTTCACTCACTTTGTGTAAAAAGAAAGAAAGTTATGCCTCGCTCCAAGGTGTAACTCCAGATGGACCAAGCCTTTATGAATAAAAAAAGTGCTCAGTGATTTGGTTACAATTTCCAGTGGGTCACAGCCCAGCATCCCAACACAAATGCCATCAGGAAAGCAGAGGCTGAAGCAATCATACTCTAGTAAATCACATCTACTTAGAAATTACAAGATTTTAAGGAGCTGGGAGGCAGGAGGGCTCTGGTTTGGAGGAACATTCAGAGCACACTTTGATGCTTTCTTCTTCAGCCAGGAGGGAGGGGATACTTGTTCTTATGGACTGTAAAATACTTACAGATGTTCCCGTAATCGTTGATGCCAAACCCTGATGCCCCTCACGCAACAGAACTATTACACATGGGGAAAAAAAGCACACGACTTCCAGTGTTGTTTTTGCCAGCCAGCAAGGCGTGAAGAAAGGATTTCTCAGTCTCTGTTCAGTCCTTCCAGAAGCCAGATTTTCTCTGAGGTTCACAGAAGGGTTTCTGAAGGCCACATAGGGAAACCAAAGCGGTGGAGAGCAAACCAGGCCACTGTCCAAAGGAGGAAGAGGACTGCATTCAAACAGAAAAACTGTGGAGCAGTCTCCTCACTTATCTGGAAGCTCATGCTTTGCTTCTTTTCCTTGTCCTGGCTGTTAACAGATTCACCCCTGGCTGCATCCCATCCGCTCTCAAAGCCTGTGCTGCTCCCATCCCCTGCCTCTCACACCCAATCTCTTCTGTGGAGCCCAGGCTTCACCCTGAGAATCAGGCAGGTTATGCCCAGCTCAGCTTTATTTTCTCTTTTTAGTTTTTTTGTTTTTGTTTTTTTTTTTTCCTGCCTTGTAAAAAATAGTTCAATGCTTTATAGAGCTTCTGCTGATACCTGCTTCCTCCTTTTGGCCTGTTTGTGACCATTCTTTGGGGATGTTCACATCCTTCCTCCTTTTGGCCCATTTGTGACCGTTCTTTGGGGATGTTCACATCCTTCCCACTTCCTTCATCCTTTTGGCCCGTTCGTGACTGCTTTTTGGGGATGTTCACAGGATACGGCAAGCAGCGCTGGCACCAGGAGGGGCAGAGGAGGAAGACAGGGGTGGCAGAGCACCAGAGCTGGCAAGAGGAACTCGGCACGGTTACCTACCTGCCATGCTGGGCGGTACTGGGCTTGCCACTCCTTTGAGCGAGGGCGAAGGGCAGCTTGCTAACCTCCTCCTTGCTATCTGCCCGCTGCCGGGCGGAGGCAGCTCCCTCCCAGGGCGGGCGAGAGTCCCACGCGGAAGTCAAGTCACTGCTCGGTGCACATGAACCTCAGGTGAAGGAGCTGGGGAAGGAAACCACACTCAGCGAGAAACCCCGGGAGCCTCGCAGCTCATCCCACCTGCAGCCTCCGCTTCACCATCTGCCCGGCAGACTGCTCCTCTGAGATCTGCCCAGAGGGGCCAGAGGAGACCAGGGGAAAGAGAAAGGCTCTCCACCATGCAGGTAGGAAACAGAAACTGCTCAGCTATTTCCAAGAGGTCGTTTTGCAGCCCCTCTGAGACACCTGTAGCTTGGAAACATGGGAAACGCTAAGCTTCGACCTCTACCACTCTGTGCTTTCAGCCTTTAAAGTGCTCAAAAATGTACTACAAAACTCCCATTCCTCTTTCCAGCAAGCAATCTCATTTCTCCCCCGAGCGTGCGATGGGGAGAGCGGTGTGTGCTGCTGGCTCTGCCGTTTCCTGCAGCTGGGCAGCGAGGCAGAGCTGAGCCCCACACACCGGGGCTCAGCCTGGCCCCAGACCTCAGTACCAGAGTTCAGAGGTGCCGGAGCACAGAACAGAGAAGGATGGCTTGGACTGGGACCAGATCTTTAGCTTATAGAAATCCAGGAAAAGGGTTTGTATAGCCACAGAGGTGATGGTCCCTGATGTTTCAGGAGCACTTGAAATAAAGCAAGGGGAGAAGGGGACCTGTGAAGTTTTGTTTCTCTAGTTTGAAAGAGAAGAAGTGGTTTTCTTTTCTCCAAAAAGCCAGGCAAGCTCTCCAAGATTGGGGCAGCTACTGAATGTGCAAGTGTACCATCTGCCTGTTCAATTAAAGATTGTCACATTTCTTAGGAAACTGAGGGAAGGTGGAAGTGCTCCAAGGGAAGAGTTTGTAAGAAATGTCCCTGAGATGAGAGTACTTTGATCATCTCAGTGTGGGTGATGGGAACCACCCAAACCCTCTCTAATCCACAATTAGAAAGGAAAACAAGGATGCCAGATCCTATCCGGGTCCTTTGCCTGAGTTATTCACACGCGTGGCTATACCCCCAGCCCAAGGGTGCCTGTTACCACTTCTCTGAAGGATCCAGTAACTTCACGCAGGGCAGCAGGTTACCTGGCCTGCAACAAGGGGACAAGGTCCTCCTGATACAACTGGGGAGAAACCAGACGCACTTCAGGGAGTGCAAATCCTTTTCAACATTGAAAATCCTGCTTCTCATTGTGCCGGTTACTTCTCCTACACCTTTGCACTGCGTGTCTCCAGCCCTGCTCCAGCCGTGGGGCAGGAAAGACAACAGGCACTGTCCCCCTTGATAGCGGGGATTAGAGCCCAGGGTTTATAGAGCTGCTTCAGAGCCGAGGTGGCCGTGCCCACACACGGGGTCGATCCGACAGCCTCGTGCTGCCAGAGCAAAGCAGCCATAATCTGACAGTGTCACTACTCCCCTGGGACATAAAAAATAGGTGTGAGAGGAATACCAATCCAAAGGCCCTGCCTGTCCCTGCGCCCTGGTCCCCAGAGCAGGCTGGGCTCCTGCACTTCGAGCAGCCTCTGCCTCGCGAGCATCCGGTGGCCACCGCCGTGAACGAAACCCGCCGAAGCGCTGCTCTCCCATCGTCGCAGCTTTCCAACCCCCCCTCTGCAGCTGAATGCAGTTTTTATCTGTAACTGCTCCAGAGGTGGGCACTGGGAATTGCCTGTGATAATCTGCAAATAATTTACAAATTCCTCCCCATTTTTCAGTCCTACGCAGAGGCGCTTGCGGTGCCTGCAGAGCGGGTACCAGGCGGTAGATCACGTTGCTATGGGAACAGAGAGAAAAGCCAGACCCTGCTACCACCACATCATTATTGCCTAGAGAGCCGTGCACGGGCAGCCTGGGAAGCATCCCCAACAATCCTTAGGGCTTGACTGGAAAATTAGAAAGCAACAAGTCCCTCCTGGGATTAAAATCAGCTCTTGCTGTTCCAGGAACATGGAGAGTACCATAATCCCCTCTCTGCGTCTTGACCCAAATTGGGGTACCTCTTAGCTGTGAGAAGTTCTGGTTCTTATTGCAACAGCACCTCAGGGGGAGAATATCCCTCTTCTCAAGCCTTCTCACTTTGCCTTTCTGCTGGTCAGTCTCCTCACAGCTCTTTTGCTTTGGGTGAAGCCAGGGCCCTAGCTCCACGTGAGAGAGGATTTGGCAGAGCAGTTCAACCCTTTCCCCATCCCTCCTGCTCCCACGGCCTCATTCTTCAGAAGAAGCTTGGGATCCAGATCTTACATCAGGGCACAGTTGCACCACCATCGCTCTGCTCCTGAGATTGCAGCTGGATGAACTAGTCTGGCTGGCTGCTGTTTCAGGACACATCATTTTTGGTGGCAATACTGACTGGAGATATACTGACAATATCCCCATCCCCTGGCAGCTCCATCCCACTTTGCTGCGTCGCCATGCCCTCGGGAACTGCGGTGTAACTGTGGGGCTGCACCATGAATCACATAAGAGAACTGGAAAAAAAAAAAAAAAAAAAAAACCAAACAAACACCCAAACACCAAAAAAATGCTGGTTTTAAGATGGAATCCATTCCCTGCCCCTGTCACAGCATGGGCTGCAGACCACGTCTTTATTAAACTCATTGTGTTCACTGGGATCTGGAGCCTGGCGTGTTCTTGCCAATCCATTAGAAGACTGGTTGGACTAATCCCCTCTTGCCTAACAGGGAATTATGGCTGCAAAACCAGGCTGAGATCACATCAGGGAGGCAGGCATAGAGGACAGGGACAGAGTGGTTTGAAGCTGATGTGCTCCAGTTCTGGGCATCCACCAGGTCCAGGGCACCCAAGGGTGCTCGCTGCAGCACCCTTCCTTCGGTGGAGGGACACTGTGGGCTGGGAAATCATGCTGGGCAGAGAGACCTGCTGCTGCAGGGCTGCCTTATTTGCTTTATGCAGCACCAGATCTGCCCCACGGGGGCGTCTGAGAATAATTAGGCTTAAATAGTGAAGGTGAGCAGCTGCGTTCACCCCTGTGCAGCCTCTCCAGAGCCAGTAGCTCACGGGAGGTGACCCGGCAGAAGCCAAGCGCCAGCAGCTCACCTTCCCCTGACCGAGGCATCCAAGGTGCTTTCCAAGAACTTGTTTTTCACCTGCTTTGCCGCAGTCCGCAGGGTTGTGCAAGCCTCCAATTGTCTGTGTCCCACTTTCCCTTCACTGGAATTCAAAACTACCCTCCCCACCCTTGCCAAAAAGCCAACAGTGCCCTATCTGAAAGGAACAACTAAAGAGGGGAAAAGGTTGATTAAAGGTTGTAAAAACCACTGTAGCGTGGAGAGAGAGTTGAGGGTTGACACTCATCCAAGTAAGGATGTCAGGGCATTAGGTGAAACAAGGTGGAGCAAAGTCCAGAATAGAGAGAGGGGTTTGCTTTTTCCTCCTGTCTGTCTCCCTTGTGACCCAGGGTGCCATCAATGCTGGGCATTACATGAGTCCAAGAGGAGGCTGCACACTCCCGCAGAGCAGCAGCCCCTTCAGGACCCCTAAACATGAAGCCATTTGGCTCAGGAAGACCCAGGCTGGAGAGCAGGAGGGTGTGGGAAGAGGCTTCAGACGAGCCTGGTTCTACCCTCCTCCCTCGGCACCCATGGGTGCTGGGAGAGGAAAGCTGGGCCAGGCCAATCTTGATCTTATATTGTAATCCAATTTTATCTGCCTGGGCTCTGTCTTTTTCAATGTACTGCAAGTCCAGCCCATAGGACACCGAAACACCGCGCGGGCCTTGGCGTGGGCAGGTTTCTGTGTCCCACAAGCAGAGGGACACACGAGCACTGCTCACCCACACTCACCACCCGGCACGGGGCAGCTTGGTCCCCACGGCCCCTGCAGGTTCCGAGCCAGGGCCCCGTGATGCTGTCCAAACCTTTGCAGGGAGAGGTTTGCTCTGTGCCAGGACACGGGATCTCCCAGGGAGCCCGCTGAAGCCTTCGCTGGTTTTCTCTTCTGCAGGATGAAATTCTGTTGTCTCCCTGGAGGGATTTTCCTGTCGAAGACACGGACCCATTTTCCCCCCCGGTAAGATTTGCTCCCTCTGCACTCAGTGAGTTCAACACAGCTCAGAGAGGGGAGCGGGGCAGTGTCAAGGCAGAAGCTGCCTCAGTTTCCCCATCCCCGTTCTCCTGCTCAGTCCCAGTTTCCAAGGGCACCCTACAAAGTCACAGTGAAGGTCTAAACCTATGAGAGGCTGGAGCTGAGAGGAAGAGCTCTTGGCTTGCCACCTCCATAAATTCCCTGGTGTTTTCTGTGGGCAGGATGAAGAGAAGTGGGATTTCGTCCTGGTAAGCGACATCCATGAAGTGGGCAGCGAGAAGGAGATCAAGAGGAAGAAGTTCCTGGATGAGCTGAACAAGAAGGGGTTCGCCATTAAGGTGAGGGCCTGTAGGAGGAAAAAGCAGAGGATCCTTAGCTGTCTTGAGGTACCCAGGATCCAAGCCTGGTTTCGGCTCCTGCATCCCAGGAGATGGGAGAGACCTGAACTGCTGAGCTGGTGACCACATCAGTGCTGGAAAATAAACCACTTGCTCAACCAGGGGAGACCCCAGCCCCAGACTTACACGGCCCCTGGCCCTTACAGCTCTGCCAGCATTGTTCAAACAGCCCTTCTCTTCCACCCACTAGAAAATTGAGGACAAGAAGCTATTTTATGGCGTCCGTGCCCCAAAACAGATCTTCTGGAAATACCAGTGGCTCCTGAGGAACCCTGACAGCAGGCTGCAAAGCCCCAATGTTGATGACATACCAGTGACCACCAGGTGGGTGCTGAGCCGGGCTACTCACCTCCAGCATCTTTCACTCCCCCTTCTCCACACCAACATCCATTTTCCAGCTCAGCTCACAGCTGTGCCAGGCTTTTCATTTTCCAGAGAAGGCCACCTCCACCTCCCATGTGCAAAGCTGCCAGCTTCTCACTGTCCACAGCCAGCTCCACATTTCTTCCCCCACTCCCTTCCCTCCCCTGTTTTCCAGGGCCACACAACACAAGTGTGTATCCCCAGAGCAGCCTTTAACTCCAGTTTCTCCTTGCTCAGGATACGGATCGTGAACTTCATCCTGCAGAACACGATGACGCCTGACCTCGGTAAGAGACCGGGGCTAGCTGGGGTGATGCTCAGCCTGGCCCTGCAGCAAAGCTCCTGCCCCGTGGGGGGCACGGGCACCCCCAGCTGCCTCAGGAGGAGGAGAAAGCCAGGGTGCAGCTCAGGCCAGTAAATTTGCTGCTGCATCCAGAGTTGGGGAGGTTCAGCCTGCAGCAACCAGCAACAGCCCTCTACTCCCTCGCCCCAAACCCCCGACCTCAGCTGCCTGCCACCGCTCTTCTGTGTCCCCAGAAGAGCTCACCCATCTCTGACACCCCGGACAAGCAGGGCAGCACAGGGTGCTGGCTTTCTAGCTGTCCCTAAGGACCTGCCTACCTGCCTTGCTCCCAGAGCCAGCCATGAGGCAGCCTGTGGCAGCCTGGCAGAGTAGCACAACCGCAAGGATTAGTGCTGATCCCTTTTGAATAGCTCAGCCTCTCTCAGGTGGTTGGTGTTTTTTTTGGGTTGTTTTTGGTTTGTTTGTTTTTTTGTTTTTTTTTTTTTTTGGCTCCCCTCTAAGGCTCCAGAAAAGGTTTGGGGTGATTCTGCCTGGCAGGGAGCACATGGGGTGAGAGCAAAGCTTCACTAATCCTCCCCGTTCTGCTCTGCTACCAGAGAAGCTGGATGACCTGATGAACAAGAAGGTCTTTGAGGCATCATTTCCCCTGCATGAGGTGAGGTCAAGCACATGAGAGGCAGAGGAGCCAGACCAGGCTGGGAAGACCTTTGGGTAACTGGGGCTGCAGTGAGACCTCTCTGGATGAAGGGCAAGACCAGGCTCCTGACAGCAGCCTGGGAACTGAGCTGGGGATTAAGGTTGCCCTAATATTCCTGTACCCAATCAACTTCTCTGCTCTCCAGAAAGAAGAATTAAGCGAATTCCTAAAGGAGAAATGGGCTCGCTGGAGAGTTATATTTTGCAAACAGCCGATTGAGAAGATCAGGTAACACATGCAGAAGAGGCATGGCAGATCCTTCTAACCAAGAGGTCCCACCTGAAACACAGAGATTTATCCCTTTTGCCAGGCTCCTGTGTTTTCTTTTAAATCATTAGTTTGAACTGGCTCTCCTTGCAAGTATTGGGCTGCTTCTGAAGCCTGCAAAGGTATTAGCCTAAGGGGTGTCCCTGTGGCACCGAGCTCCAACTGCTAATTTTGCAGCAGGAAACAACGCCCGCATCTGCACGGGTTTTAATTAGCCCATTTTGGTTTCAACCTTGCGCTCCCATGTTCAAAAGGAAAGTGAGATGGGAACAGAGCATCAGTTCAGCACATCCAGCCTGAAGCAGAACTTGGGGCATTAAAGGCAGCAAGGGGCTCCTGTAACCACATTAAAACTCAGGGAAGAGCACAGCTCTTATTTTAGAAGGGGAAGAAACCAAACTCCTCGTGGTCAGGGGAAGGAGGGCAGACGGAACATGCTACTTCATAAAGTTGCCAGTGGGCTCTGTTAGGGAGATGAAATGTTAAAATGGAGATGTGCTCTCCTTCCTTGAATGTTTATTACAGTTTGTAAGTCTAGCAGAGGCATGAGGGACTCTTCATGCCTCTGTGGTGCACAAGGTCAGACAACTCATCGGTTCTAAGGTCAAGGCACCATGACTTGTTGTATCACAGAAGGATTAAGGGACTGAGTATGAAACGGGGCGGGGGTGGAGGGAGTGTTGGAGTTTTCATTTGTTTTAAACAAAGGCCAGGGAGCACATCGCCACCTTTGCTGCTAGAAAGTTAATTCCGCTGGAATAGAGGGGAGGCAGGTCCATTAGTTAGTAGTTACTATCATTTCCTACCCGTGCTTCCAAGCCTCTTCCCCACACCAGAGAAACAGAGATACTGCCACCATAAGAAGGAGACATGAAAGCATTGCAGGGACATAGCTGAGCCCAGGAGAAATTGCTCTCGTTTGACAAACATCGCACCCCGCAGCCCCCTCGTCTTCTTCAAGCCTGGCCTTTCTAAAATTCTGCTGTAGGCGCTGATTGCAACTTGGTCTCTCAACCATTCCCACCCCTCTTACCTGGCATAGGGTCACTCATGCACACATGGGTGTCTCCCTGTGGCTTGCACCCTCGGGGCTCCCCTTGCAGCGGGGCCGTGTCCACTTTGGAGGGAAGTGAGAGCAGCTCTCCCTGTGCCATATTAACCAAGGGGGGAAGAAAAAATAAATATAAGAAAAAAAAAATCTCAGTCCTTAGTTTGCATCAGTCCCCAGGTTGACTGAGAACAGAAGAAGCCTTCTCCCCAGTTTCTCCCAGCCCACGCCACGCCGGCCACCGCAGGGACACCCAGCCAGCTCCCCGTGCATGTGCTGCCATAGCCCTTTGGGGGTGGAAGAGCATTTTCTAGTGCCCCCTGACAATGGAGTCTCTTCCACCAGCTGCAAACCACATCTTACCTTCTAGGTGCTATTTTGGTGAGAAGGTGGCCTTGTATTTTGCCTGGCTGGGCTGGTACACCTACCTGCTGGGAATCGCCGCGGTGGTCGGACTGGTGGTCTTCGTGGCTGGGATTACCATCTTCAATTCCAGCCAGGTGAGGTAAGGCAGTTGGGAATGCCAAACACACATCCCATTCATGAGCCTTTGCTACACATCTGGCTTTGAGTCACTGTTATTCCCCTTTGCTTCCCTCTACTCCCTTCTCTCTAGCAAGGAGATCTGTGAAGCCAGCAACACCATCATGTGCCCGCTCTGCGACCAGAAGTGCCCGTTCTGGCTCCTCTCCGACACCTGCACCTATGCCAAGGTAGGTAGCCCCCTTCCCAAGAGAGGCTCGGGGCAAAGCACAGGGAAACACTCCCAGCTTGTGCCATCCCCACACTGCTAGAAAGAAAAGCCACCCCAGCAAAGTGGCTGCAACACACAGGAAACCTCCGCTAACCTCTGTAATAAGGAGGAGGTAAGGCCAGGTCACGGTCTCCACCACACCCAAGGGAGCACTTACCACTAACACATCCCAGCGCCCATCCCCTCCCTGCATTTTGCCCTCCTGCAGCATCTTTATCCGTCTCGGGGGGACCAGGGTGGCAAGAAGACTGCTGGGTGCAGAGGTCTCTCCCCAGACCCCGAGGTGCCGCAGCCCCTGCACCCCGCTGCCCCCATCACTCTCTCCTTGATCTCCTCCAGGTCACTCATGTGATTGACAACGAGGGGACAGTTTTGTTTGCCATTTTCATGGCGATCTGGGGTAGGTGTCAACATCTTGGTGCCAAGCACACACGGCTTGGAAGAGGGATCAGCCCACTGTGGCTTAGGGGGAGAGTAGGTGGAAGAAAATGGGACATCAACACAGCTTCACCATTCAGGGGCTTTTTAGGCCTTATCTTCTCTTCTCCCAGAGCCCTCAGCTCCCCTTCCAGACAAGGCAAGGAACAAATCATGCCAGGAATTTCCTTCAGCTCCCCAAACACTCCTTACCTGTCCAGCCTGAAAGCTTTTATTCCTTCGCCCACCACAACCTCCTGCACAGCACCCAAGAGCCTCCCCAGCCAGGATTTTCTGGCAGCTGCGGGACAGAGGGACCGCCAGACCCCTCCTTAACCCCCCCAGTTGCAGCAGGACCCCTCAGCTGCCGTGGCACGAGCACAGCAGACCACTGGGCTCTGAGCTGCTGGGATCCCACCACCACATCAGCTACACGTCTCGTTTGCCTTTACTAGAGCCCTTTCAGTCGCAAACACCGCTGCAGGCGTGGGCCGGGTGTTTCACCCGTGGGACCACACTCCGACCGGGACACGCTCTTGTGTGTCGCTGTGGGCTGGTGTACACGGGGACAAACTCAGGACGGTTAATCCAGATTAACAGAAGGGGTGGTTGTGAATGGGTGTGCAGGGCTGTAGCCGTGCTGCGGTGCAGTGCAGGATACCTATTCCACTCGGAAGGCGTATTTTGCATTAAGCCAGAATAACATGCCCACCACAGCAGAACAGCCCCGACGCTTACCCTGGTTTGCACCAAAGCCCCTGCAGACACTAGACTGGCCTGACCCCCAGTGAAATCTCACCCCCCCCGCCCCCCCCCCCCCCATCCCCCTCCCCGCATGGGGCCGAGCTCACAGCTGCACATCCAGCATCCTCCCGGCCACCGAGATGCAGAGGTGGCTGCCTGTCCTTCACGGGCCACGGGCAGTCCGGGCTGGTGTGCCACCAGGTTGGATGGTGACGTGACGACCCACCCTGCCGTAGGATGGAGGGGTGACTTGTCTCCAGAGCTGTCCCCGGGTGTCACAGCGCTCTCGCCTTCCCCCCACAGCCACTGTGTTCCTGGAGCTGTGGAAGAGGCAGAGAGCCACCGTGGTCACTGACTGGGACCTGTACAGGTGGGATGAGGAAGAGGTGAGGACATCATCTTTCCTGCTTGGTGCTTCCCTTCTCAGGGCAGGAGTCAGCTGGACCTACAGAAAACACACGTCACAGGGACCCCCTTGCCCAGCTTGATTCTCTGTAGATGTAAACATCTAATGAAGAGACTTAAACAAACAGCAAAGCCAGTATCTGACAGTCCTGGGAGAGACAGAGCCCTTCAGAGGGTTAAGCAGATGCTAGCCACTTCACTGCAGTGCTAGTCGCCTCTCCACCCACACAAGGGCTTGGACTCAATCAGGGTTGGCCATGCTGTTGCGAGTTGGGTTGGGTGTTCATCCCTGTCCTCCTCTGGTGCTGCTCATCCCATATGTCCATGAACAGAACAACCCCTGGACTTTCCACTACCTGGGCACAGCTCTGCTGGATCCTTTCTTTCCCATTTTTTAATTTTCCTTTTTTTTTTTTTTTTTTTTTCTTTTAAAGGAGGAGCTGGCTCTGGAGCTGATCAATAATTTGCAGCACGAACCCCGGCAGTACCAGCACTCCTACTTCCGCAGCACCATCATACTCCTCCTGGTTCTGGTGATGGTATGTGCCAGGGTGACCATAGGAAGATCTGGTCTAAGGGCATGTGGGCTTTCCTCCTTCCCTCCCAACTCTGCTGCAAGAACAGCACCTCAGAGTGTCCTATTGCTGGAGCAAAGGCAGAAACCAGGTTGTTAGGGCAGGTCCGTGCCCATTTCAAGGGTCCAGGGGCCTCCCTACGGTCGCACCTCGCTGTGCTGATGGGAGAAGCCACCCACGCTCCGGGGATCTGGGCTGAAGGCTCTGCTCCTGCAGTGGAAGGCGGTGAGGATCAGGCAGTAACACAGAGGGTAGGAAGAGACAAACCCTTGATGCCCTCACTTCTCCCCGTGGGCCAGCGGAGAGTCTAGACGAGTCGTTCAGGCAGACACATCCACCTTAGGAACCTCTCTTCCTTAACTGAAGAGCGCTGGCTTGCATTTGAGGCCACGTCCAGACGAGCTCTGGTGAAGGGAGCCAGGGTTTGGTGGTCCTCAGGATCTCCACACACGGCTCCTCCCCACCCCGCTGCCTCCCCCGCAGATTGCCGTGCTGATCGGCATCGCCCACGCGCTCGTCATTTACCGGGTGGTGGCGACGGCTCTCTTCACCCAGAGCGACTTCGACTTCCTCCGCGAGCAGGCCAACACGATGGCGGTGATGACAGGGGCTGTGCTGCACTACATCACCATTGTCATCATGACCAAGGTGCGGAGTGAGACACGGGGCAGGCGGTGGGGTCTTCTCCTCGCTTTTCCACCATCAACCCCCCCCCCCCCTCTCTCGTTTGATACCTCTCTCCTGCAGGTCAACAGGCACGTGGCCCTCTTTCTCTGCGACCTGGGTAAGGGAAACTGGGGGCTGTCTCCCACCTGTGCCCGCAGCACCAAGGTGCCCAGCAGCACCCAGGGACTGCAGCACAGAACCCCCTTGGTCCTCGGACGCAGCCAGGCTCCTGGCCCCTTCCCTTCCTCCACCATCACAGAGCACCCACCGGGCAGCTCTGGCCGTGCAGGTCCCCAAGGGAGGCCAGCAGCCCTCCAACAGACAAACTCACCCCTGGCCCACGTGCTGCCAGCCAGCCGTCTCACAGCCACGTTATGCTCTGGAGGGGCAACCACCCTATGGGGCTGAGAGCCGGCATGAGCAGGAAGCCACCACGGCTGCAGGAGAGCTCACAACATGGTTTTCCTCCCAGCTGAAGGGCCCCTTCTCCCCCAGATCTGAAGGACCTCCCTGCTTTGCTAGGCTCAGCTCCATGAAAGGGCTCAGGTGAAGGGCAGGGAAGGCTCCACGAGAGGCAGAGACACCCTCCCAACCTTCAAAGAACTGCTGTGGCATCTGAGGGGGGAGCAGGGCAAGGTCCCACCGCTCCGTGACCAAGCCCCTGGGCCTTGCTCCCTTCTCCAGAGAAACCACGGACCTTCACCCAGCGTGAGAACAACTTCACCGTGAAGATCTTCACCTTCCAGTTCTTCACAAACTTCTCTTCACTCATCTACATTGCCTTTTTCCTGGGACGGTGAGTGGTGGCTGGGGGCCCAGGGGGGAGCAGAGGGGAGTCTGGGTTTGGGGCACATACCCCCAACGCTACGCAGGGTCTAGGGACAGCCCAGTCCCTCTACCCTCCAGGCACAGGGACCCCCTTTGGCACTTCAGGAGGACCATGACTTTTCCCTGTGGGCACGGTGGGTGGGGGGAAGCCCCTTGCCTCTCCACCAGTGCCCGGGGGATGATGCCCTCCATCCCGCACCTGGATGTTCATCCAAGGAGGGGTCAGCAGTGGGGCTCAACGGGTATTGCTGTGGTTGCTTCCTTGCTCAGGATCAATGGCCACCCAGGGAACTATGTGCGCGTTGCCGGCAAGTGGAGGCTGGAGGAGGTGAGGGACTCGCCATAAAGCTCTCTGTCCCCACACCACAGCTCCTACGCTTCCTTCTCCTTTTGCCCAGCAAGGCTCTGGGAATCCCAGTTTCCTCCTGTAGTACCTTGGCCAAACAGCCCCTGGGGCCAGGCCACCCTGCTTGCAGGGCACAACTCCTCTCCCCTCGCCCCTCCGCAGTGCCACCCCAGCGGCTGCATCACCGACCTCTTCATCCAGATGGCCATCATCATGCTGCTCAAGCAGACCCTCAGCAACATGATGGAGTATTTCGTCCCGTAAGCTTTCCACCAGCCTGCGCAGCACTCACTGGTGCTCCTGAGTGTTCAGGGCAGCTTCCCAGCTCTCCAAGGGTAACCCTGGTCTTTGGGCCAAGGTTGCCTCCTTCTCCCTCCTCCTCCGCTCTCCAGGGCTGTCACAGGCAGCAGCTCAGCCCTGCTGTCCTCTGCAGGCAGCCATAAAAATCGCTCCCTCCCCTTGCAGCTGGCTACGCCACAAGCTGCGCAAGCAGCAGCAGCGCCCCAAGAAGAGAAGCGTGATGTTAGGAGAGGAGGAGGAGGCCGAGGACCCCTGCAAAAGGCATTGGCTGAGCAACTACCAACTCAACAAGGTCAACGTCTTCAGCTTGTTTGACGAGTTCTTGGAGATGGGTACGTAGGACTGGGGGCTGCATGAGGAGGGGTGCTGGGTGCAGAGCCACACGCCCTCCTTGGCTGGAGAGAGCCTGGTGCTGGGGGGCCCTTCCTAGAAGGAGAGACCCAGCTCCATGCCCAGCCCCGCTCCGACAGCTCGGGCACACCAAGATCATTCCCAAAATGAGAGAGCAGACAACTGTGCTGGCCTTGGGCCCCGGCCTGGGACCTTCCTCTCCTCCCTGGAGTGGCGAGGTGATGGCTGTAAGCCCAGGACAGTCCCTCTGCCTGGCTGGCCCAACCTGTGGGGCCCCCACTGATCCCCCTCTCCAACAGCCCTGTGAGAAGTGGGTGTCCCCTGTGGGGGATCCCCAAGACAGGTCTATCTCCCCCTTTCACCCCTGCAAAGCCCCTCTGACACAAGCCACAAGGCAGGACAAACCCAGACAGCGGTCAGGACCCCACTGCGGTGGCTTCACACCACCACCTGGCGTTTTCCCCCTCCGCAGTGATCCAGTACAGCTTCACCACCATTTTCGTGGCTGCCTTTCCCTTCGCCCCGCTGCTGGCGTTCTGCAACAACCTCATCGAGATCCACCTGGACGCCAAAAAGATGATGCGGCTGTACCGGCGCATGGTGCCCAGGAAGGCCAATGACATCGGTGAGACGGGGCCCGGGGAGCACCCCCCTCCTTCCAGCGCCGCTGCCTGTGCCCGCCGTGCCGGCGTTGAGCCCTGGAGCATCCCTCTGCCAGCGACTGGCATCGCTTTGCCGCGGAGGCTGGAGAGCACAGGGATTGCTGTGGGTTGGGGAAGGAGAAGCGATTTCAGACGCTGCAGAAGCTGAGGGCCAGCCTGGAGCCCTCCTTCCTTGGCGTCTTCTGGCCATGGCAAACCTGTCCCCGAGCCAGGGCTTGGTCTGCAGCCCCTGAGCAGCGGCAGTGAGCTCTCGGAGGGGCCTCACCGACCGCTCCTCTCCCGCAGGAATCTGGCTGCAGGTCCTGGAGGCCGTCGGTATCCTGGCTGTCATCGGGAACGGACTGGTGATCGCCATCACGTCCGACTTCATTCCCATGCAGGTCTACAAGTACACGTACAGCCCCTGCATGACGGAGAACAGCACTGGCGTGGAGTGAGTGGCTGCCTCAGGGCCACCGGTGCAGAAACGCGGGGCAGCCGAGTGGTCCCCCACAGCGGGCGGGGGTGGGAAAAGGGGAGCAGGGGAGGGTTTTCCAGATGGCATCGTCTCCAGCGTCCCAGCCGGCCTCCCACTCACATCATCCCCGTGGTGGGTGAACTGGTACCCCTGAATGGAAAGAGCACCACGTAATGTTGGAGAGCTGCAGGACTGCCTGGGTGCCCTCCCCCTTTTCCCCCAGGCCTTGGCTCACCGGCCAAGTTCAGTCAAACTGGACAGAAGTCTCAGACACATTCAATTCCCCCAGGCTTTGGGAAAATGGGTGGCGAGGGAGGAGACGGAGATCCCCAGATGGCTGCTGGCTTCCCCAAAATGGGAGGCTGCAGCCTGTGCTCAACCATACCAGTGACCTGAGAATCCACGCACCAGGAAAACCATAGAAACGAAAGCTGCAGGCAGAGAGACTTTGCAGCAGTCAGAGGCTTTGAGTCCCCTAGAAGAGCTGCAGCTTTCAGCTAGGGCATGCCCCAACCCTGCAGCGTGGCCATGGACTGGGACCACCCCCCCCTTCTCCGCCGCAGACCTGACCTTCTCCCCCCGCAGCTGCTCGACCGGCTTCGTCAACCACAGCCTCTCCGTGTTCCGCATCCAGGACTTCGAGCCCCACACAAAGGTGCCCGAAATGCTGCCGGGCTTCGTCAGGAGCGAGATCAAGGAGTGCAGGTAACAGCAGCCCGTGGCTCGGTAGCATTCCGACCCCCAGCCCCTCACCGTGGCATCCAGCCTGCAGCCAGGGAAGGGACAGGAGGTAGAGCAGAGCAGCCACTCAGAGGAGGCTGCTGGGGCTCCTCTCGCACCCCCACGGGGGAGGCTGGGTACGAAGTGGGGCACGGGGGGGTCTGGGCTGGCACCGACGGGGCTGTGCTGCAGGTACCGGGATTACAGGAACGCCGACGACTACAGCTACACCGTCCAGTTCTGGCACATCTTCGCCGCCCGGCTTGCCTTCCTCATCCTCTTTGAGGTGAGGCAGGAGGAGGCTGGGGCAATCGGGGGGGGGGTGGGGGTGGGGGTGCAGGAGGGAACAGGCTGGGTCGTTAGCTGCTAGCCAGCCGGGGGGGCTCCTCACTGCCCACGGCGGCCGCCTTTGCTTTCTGCAGCACGTGGCTCTGTGCGTCAAGCTGATCGCAGCCTGGTACATCCCTGACGTCCCCCAGTCGGTTAAGAATCAGTTTCTGGACAGAAAACACCGCAACCTTCGTAAAGAGCTGAGGTGGGTGATGCCGCCAAAGGTGCTTGGGGATGGTGCAGCCTCCAGCAGAGCTGCCTGGCTGCAGGGTCCGTTGGCCCCGGAGCCCCCTGACCAGGCTAACCCCCCCCAACACGGGCACAGAAAGGGGGGCTGTGAGCTCCTGACCTTGGGGCAGCTCCTCATCACCCTTTCCAGGGTGCTTCTCCCCCAGCTTTCAGCTCAGGCTCTCCTACCTAGGACCTACAGCAGAAAATGCTCCTTTTAAGATGAGCTGCATTAGCCAGAAATGAGGTTCCATCCCCCTCCATGCCTGTGCTCGCCCTCGCTCGCCCAGGTGCCTGGATTTTAGGGGCTCCAGGCCAGCCAAATGAGTCCCACCTGAGGCAATTCAACACTCTGCTCACCAGAGGAAGGGGCTGCTCAGCTGTGGCTTTTCCTTCAAAAAAAGAAAAGCTCCGATTTAGAGCAGAAAGAAATTTTGCCCAAATTTTCCGCTTCAACTTTGTTTAAAAAAAAATGATTACTTCAGCTGAAAACAGAACCAATGTAGCTGAGAGCCATAGGCTGGGCCGCCCTGGTGCTGCTGCCCTTCCCCGGGAGCCTTCGTGCTGCCCCTCCTCACCGTCACCTTGTCCCAGCTGCCACCCCAAAACCCAGGCAGGAGCAGAGGCAAGGGGGGCTTGGGGAGCACCACGCTGCCACAGCCCAGATTTCAGGCACTGCCTCCCCCTTGACGCAAGGATTTCCCACAAACAGCGTGCCATTCTTTCTCCATTTATTTTTGGCAAAAGGCCCCGTTCCCACCCTGAATATTTTTTCACACCTCCCTGTTGCTTCCCGATTCAGGCAGTTCCCTTCCGCAACTCCCCTCTGCTTTCCCCCCAGCATGATGGAGTACTCCACCGAGGTCTGAAGGAGAAACACAGCCCTGAGCCCCCCTCCCCAGCCTGGCAGCGCCGTGGGCACGGGAGGAACCACCCCGGCAGCACCCGCAGAAACGGGACGCGTGTCCCGGCTGTGACCGACCTTGGACTTGAGCTGGGAAGCGACAGCGTGACGGTGGCTTTGCAGGAGCAGGATGCTTTCCAACTCGCATGGCTGCGAGGAGGAAGGAAGTTGTGGCAGAGCCAGGGATGGGGCACGGGGCATTCCCAGCACGCCGAGGTGCTGGGGAAGAGCTTTGGCACCGGGGACAAACTGGGGTGCAGCATCCAGCCGCTGATGGACACTGGTCTGTGGGAGACCTGGCTCCCTCGTCAGTCACTGCCCCAACGTGCGACTCAGCAGCCCAGGAAAAGCCAGTTACCTCATTCCAGGTTCCCTCTCCAGCTCTTTTTTTGTACTTCGGCCTCTTTTTCCTCTGCTTTAATGACGTCCCTGCTCTTGCAACGCTGAGAAACTTGAGTCCTTCCTCTTTCACCGCAGCCAGCACAATCCTCCTCTCGGCACGAGTACCGCATGGCTGCAGCTCCAACGTGCTGTTTTCACGGACATTGGAAAAAATGAAGTTGTGTCAGTCTGACTGCGTTTTGCTCTGGGCTCAGCCAAGCTGCCCCAAGCACACCCGACAGTTGTGCCTGGCTCAACTACCACAAGCAAAATGGTAAATAAACATAACACCCGCACGGACACAAGAGGCCAGATCGTCGGCTGCCGTTGCGTCACTGAATTCACACTGGTATCACTCCTGCCTCCCTCCTTTGCCACGCACATCACACAATGAAATCGTCCCCCCCAAACGCTTTTTTGTCTCAACGTGGATAAATGAAAAAGGCTGGAGCAGAAGCGTCTGCACGTAGCCCGGAGCGAGGGCTGAGGGTGGAGTGCTGGTGTGAGAGACGCTTAAAAGAAGTTGGCACTTTGTCCGTGCACAGTGGGGAAACAACCTCTGAAATGTGCTGGGGTAACAGAAACACCGAGCTGCGCAGACAACCCTGAGCGATAGAGCTGGCAAGGGCTCTCTCTTGCTCCAAAACACCACCCTCACCCCAGCCTAAACCCCAGCCCTGCCTGACATTTCCCCCCCTCTTCCCTTACGCCCTCCAGCACCGGCAGCGGCTTTGTCTGCAGCCCAGAGCAGGGGTCACATCCCGGGGCTGGACTGGTGCCACAGCCAGCACTGGGGCTTTTTGAGCATATGCGCATTCCCAGCCTCTCGGCTTTGCTCTCTGCCCCGTCTAGCTTCAGCCATTCGTTTACCAACTCCAGGCGGAGTTATTTGTGCTTAACGAACAAAGTCTTTGTTCATTGCTGCCCAGGAACGATAACGATGATAACGTGCCCTCCAACACGTGACTTCACTCGGCTCGAGTGCAGAATCAGCCCTTTGATGCCCGTGAGCTTCCCCACACGTTACCGCAGGCCCATGCAGCCTCGCTGAGCTGCGTTTGCAAATGTACAGGGAAAAAGCTTTTCTCTTCCTTTTTCCTAATTCCAGCTAATGAGGAAGGCAATAGCACAGGACAGGTGACCGCAGCCAGTTTCCAGCTTTCTTATAGTCCTTGTAAGCTCCAGGGCAAACCCACTAGTGTTCCAAAGCTTTTGAGTCTTTTTTCTTTCTAAGAACTGGAAACCTTTAACTGGTTTGTTCCTTAAACCTTGAGCTCCACCCTTTCATCCCCCCCTCTATAAATGCCAATAGGCACCTTCCCGTGTTGGAGGGGAATTGTGGGGATAAACTGAGCGAGATGTGGGAGCTACAAGGGTGCTACAGCGTGAGTGAGTGAGTGAGTGAGTGAGTGAGTGAGTGAGTGAGTGAGTGAGTGAGTGTGTGTGTGTGTGTGTGTGTAACAGCACGTTACAGCCACCCCACAAACTCAGAAAGATGCAGGGAAGCAAACATGGGCACCACGGGCGAGGAACAGCTCTTTCATCAGGGCTGATTTGTCTTCTTCAGTAATTAAAAGCCAGACTGGCCCAAGCCCCTGCTGTGGCCAGAGCCATACCGCTGTACGGAAGTCTGTGCAGCGATGCTCCTTCCCGTAATTAAACTGGTCCCTGCTGTACAAAGCGTTGCAAGAGGCAGCACCGCTTTCAGCTCGCTTGAAGGGTCAGCGCAGCCGCGCGCCCGGAGAGGCCTCGGCCCCCGTTTAAGAGCAAAAACCCGGCGCCCGCTGTGCCTCCTCGGAGAGGAGCAGCGATTGCAATTAAAGGCCTGTTACTAGGTGCCACCTCATCCTGCGGCAATAGTCTCACTTCTGGGACTTGGAAGCAAACCGTGGTTTCGTACTGTATCCATGGCTTTGGAACACAGCCGCCTGGCAGCGCCGAGTGGCTTAAATTTAATCAGCTTCAAGCTGTTAAATGAATCAAGAACTGGGTATCGTCGATGCCGCAGGGTCTGAAGGCGGCAGCCTCGGCGCAGGAGGGTTCTGACGGGGGATTCGGATGCAGCTGCTGCCCCCCCAGCAGGACACGTTCAGGGTCACAGCTCTGCCGCTGCTGAACTCGCAACACCCCAAGACCCCGAGGTTCCCCCCCCCCGGCACCCCCGGGAGCCGGTGGGTCCGCAGGGGCTGTGCCCCGTGACCGAGGCCAGGCGCCGGGGACTCTCCCAGAGACGACGTGCCCGAGTCAGAGAAAGGCACCAGGGTCAGCTCAGCCTCAGAACTTCATCCCCAAGAGCAGGAAAAGCCACTGTCTCGCAGGGATCTGAAACAAGCTTGTTTTATCCTTCCACCACTGCAACCAAAACCGCCTCCACTCCTTCTCACTTTTAACTTACCTACCCACAGGAATAGCCCTGAGGGACAAGAAAGGTCTTTTCAGCTCCCAATTTGCTACCAAGCCTCCTCACGCCCTTGCTGTCCCCAGGACCTGGCTTTGTTCCGTGGGATCCTTTATCACCCCACAGAGCCAACCGGTTTACGTTGGCTTCCACAGCCCGTGCATCAGCCTGACGGCGGTATCGGGGACGAGAGAAGCTCTCCCCGAAAGAGCTGCCTGAATAGCTGCTCCCCTGAACACGCCGGCTGCTGCCTCACCGGAGGGCTCAGGAACAAGGGGCCATTGCTGGAGCGCCAGCCCTTTTCCCCCTGCAACAGGTCAACAGCACCAATATTTTGCATAATGACCAATAAAGGTTTGGAGTTGGGAGTGTTTCTTCTTGTGAATAGGCCCAGAGACCTATCTGTGACCTGCAACTGTGTGTGTGTGTCTATATATGTATATGTATCTATATCTATATGTATATACACAAAAAAAATGCATACATACACGTCACCCAGGGACAGCGGCCCTAAAGATGAGCACTAGCTGTACACTCAGCCAGCGCTTGTCTCCCTTGCCCCCCACACAGAAGCTTTTCCCTCCTGGGGTGCAGGAGCCCCGGGACCCCCCGTTTCCATGCCCGGGAGCAGCGGTTCACGGTGGGGAGCGCCAACATCTTGGCACCGCGTGGGTCATGCTGGGAGCGGTAGGCTAAAAAAATTAAAAATAAATGAATAAATAGAAGCGAAAACACGCGGGGCTGGGCAGCGAGGGGGAAAGCTGCTCATTCCGGGTGGGGAGAGCCACGGCCGCTGCCTTGCCCCGTCCCAGCGGCACACAGCTGGGTTCAGCCCCAGCCCACAGCACTGCTCCTATGCAGGGGGGTTATTCTTTTTAGTTTGCAAAGCGAAGGTTAGAACCATTTTGGGTTTTTTTCCAAAATGGTGCATTGTGGAGAGCTGAAGGAGCCTGTTCACCCACCGCAGCCTCAGCCCGGAGAGGTGGAAGCCACCACTGAGGAGGCCAGCGAAGGTGCCAGGGCCCCGACCCCATCCCCGAGCCTCTAACCCTCCTTGAGCCAGGGTCTGGCAGGAGGAAAAGAGCCTCTTTTCTTCCCCTTTTGGCCCCAAAGTGCGTGCTGGCCACTGCTTGCGCTGCTGCCCGGCTGCAGGTCAGGTCAGTGTCTCGCTCACTCCGGCTGAGGCTGGCTGCAGTGCCCGCCCATTGCCTGGGGCATCTTGGGCCTCTAATTGCCTCCTTGTTAATTATTACAGTGATCACCTGCTGCTCAGAGCAGCCACGGCCGGCCCGGTTCCCCACGGCCAGCACCAGCCGGAGGAGCTGCCTGCGGTACCGGCTTCAGTTTGCAAAGAAGCTTTTAAAATTGTGGAGAAGGAAAGAGATGGGAGACCCCAAGACGCCCACGGGCACAGCCACCGGCTGCCCGGCCTCCCCCCATCAGGAACTCACCTTAACGAAGCCTGAGAGTATTGAGTTTGCTGGTGCTCAGCAAGCCGTGGCCCCAAAAGGCAGGCTCTCCCCACGGCGCTGCGTTGAGCAGACACCTCCAACCCCCCAGGCACGCTCCAGTGCAAGCCCCCGGCCGCCGCCGTGGCTCGGGGAGCTGGTATTACTGGTGGCGGCGGGCGCTGGATGCAGGTTTCATCTTGCCCCGACACCTCCGTGGGCTTTTCCAGCCACGGAGAGCCGGGGGGTTTCCTCCTCAGCCCCGGGAACTTCATGCAACCTGCATACACCCAGTCCCCCAGGGCTGCTAGGCCAGCAGGATGGGTGGGTTGCTTTCTTTTTTTAAGCTTTTTTTTTTTTTCTTTTCCCCTCCCCTAAGGCCAGCGTTATTTATTTTTTTTTTCCCCCAACAGGTTCAGGTGGAGATGGAGGTGGAGCAGCAGGAGGGAGGGACGGCCAACCCCTCCCGCAGCCCTGGCGCCCAGCGATTGGGGCAGAGGGAGAGCCCCGTGAAGGGCAGGGGCTGAACCGGGGAGGGGGAAAGATAAATAAATTATTTTTAAAAAAGGAAAAAAAAAAAAAAAAAGAGGGAGAACAAACAAGCCCTCATCTGGCAGGTCCAGTCATCTTGAGCGGCGCACAAGGGAGGCGACGGGCAGGAAGCCTGCGGCCAGGGTACCGGGGGAAGTTCCCAAGGTAAAGGCAGCTCTTCTCCGCTTCCCTCTCCGCGTTGATGCCGTCTCAGCCGGGGTCAGCAGCATTTTGCCCTCTCCCCCGAGCCCTGCTGCTCTCCCCCGGCTCCCCAGCCCCGCTTGCCCCCCCAGCCCTGGGGCTCCCCGCTTTCCGCACAGCCCAACTATCGCCTACCCCCCGCCCAGCGCGGCAAACCCCGGGTGTCCCCAACCCCAAGAGGTGGGAAAGGGGAGCGTGCTGCCCGTTCACCTGCGCTCCTCCCTCCCCGAGCCCCGGGCACCCTTTGGGCATCCATCAGCATTTCATGCCCCACAGCAAAGGGGCCCCGGCCGGCTGCGCCTCTCCACGGGGCCATGGAGGAGTTTAGGGCCTCCCTGAGCTCTCGGGCCAGTCTGCATCTTGTTGGGGCTTCCTTATTTCTGACCATCGGAGAGAAACCGCGTAGGAGTGACCCACCCAGGCAGGACCAAGCAGAGCCAGAGCATCCCCACCAGAGCCCCACACCACCCTGGGGTAGCATCTCCCACCGCCCCTTCCCCGTGCGAAAACCGGGTGGGCTGGCTCATCTCCATCCCTCGCTCTTCCACCCCACTCCATGGAGAAACCCCGTTAATGCTTCAGGTATAAATCGCTCTCCAGCTGCCCAAGCTGAACACGTTGTAAGCGTCCCTCGCATACCTTGACCCGCAGCCTCACCCCACGCCTGGCACCACTGCTGCTGTGCCAAAGGGAAGCGACGTGCCTCCATCCCTGTTCCCAGCAGAGCAGCGCTGCAGATCCCCCCCCTTCCCAGTTCCCACCAGCCGCAGAGACACGGTTCCCCCAGGGCCGAGCCCAGCCTCCAGCAGCCCTGCTGTTACCCAAAACCGGTTTGCAACCGAGAGCGATGAAGCTCTGGGGCAAAGAGGCAGCTGAGAGAGGTTTCTTCTTTTTTTTTTTCAATCCCTCATGGCGCCGGCAGTGATGCTGGGTGTGTTCACGGCCGTGCTGCCTTGCAGAAACACCGGCAACGTGACGTCCTTGTCATTCCCACATCGGCCCCGGCGGACGCGCTGCCCGCACCGGGGGCTCTGCGGGTGTTTGGGGATGGAGGAGCTTCTGCTTCGCCGTTTGCTCCTGCTGCCCCTTTGCACGGCTGTGATTTATCAGCAGGGTGCGGGGTGTCCTCCCCGGGCCCCCTCTTCCACAGGGCAGCAACGCACTGAGCTCCTAACACGAGGGCAGCTTGGCTTAGCTCAACGCTACGAGAGCTCACGAGAGAGGAAGCTTGTGTTTCCATAAATAAACCGCCCCGCTGGGCTGTGAGCAATTTCCACGGGCACACCAGGCTGGAAGCAGCACGGCAGCCAAGGTGGGGGGTTGGTAGCACGAAGGGGGTCCTGCTGAGCGCCCCCCGAATGCAGCCACGGGGGCAGCTCGCCGTGGTTCCGCGGGGAGGTATTGCACACCCCACAGCTGAGCTACGGCCGTGGCTCATTTCCCCTCGCCGGCCTCTGGTTTGAGCCGAAACCACGTTTTTAACACCCTGCAGCCCCTGGTTGGTCATTAATCACCTCCCGCCCGTAAATTCACAGTTGGGAAAGTCGGGCTGCGAGTCAGCGCGGTGCGGGGAGGGCAGGTGACACGGTGACCACCCCACCATGGCCAGGACGTGGCTTTGGCTTTACCCCGGAGCGGGACCCCCCACCCCCCTCCCCAAATCTCTGCGGGGAGCGATGGGGACTGCCGGGGCGCTCCCCAGCCCGGAGCAGCCAGCGCTCACGGGGCCATTTCTGATCTATTCCAGGCCCGGCCCACCCTGCGGCGGGTGGCAAGTGGACTTTGCCCCCCGGAAGACGCCGTGCCACGGGGCCACCCTGTCGTGGGTGGCCGGCTGGGGACGCCGGCAGCTCCCCCGCACTTTGCCTGAGCACGCCATGGCAGGTAGGCTGCAAAACAGAAGCTTTCACCCGTTTTCAGCTGGGAAGGACCCCTCCGCAGCAGGCAAGACATGGGGTTCAGCTTGCTGCTCAGCATTGCCTCGTAGGGTGGGCGAGGGTCCGTCCCAGCCCCCAAAACCAGCTCAGCCCGTTGCAAAACAGCCGCAAGTGCCGCTCGCTGCCAGACCCCCGTGGCAGCGCTTGTTTTTCCAGGGAAGCCGGGATGGCTACGACAGTTGCCCTCCCAGCCGGGAGCTGGATCAGCTTTCCCATCCAAAACCCCCTCCCCGCTGTGCCCCCCAGACCTTTGCCACGTGCCCCCCAAAGTCCTTGTCCCGGCCACCAACGAGACGCTGGAGCTGGCGCTGGGGAGCCGGGTAACGCTGAACTGCACCGTGCGATGGGCGGCCGCCGAGCACTGCGAGCCCGTCCCTGCCTGGACCAAAGACGGGCAGTGGCTGGGCAGCACGAGCAGCCAGGACACCGCCTGGTAAGGAGCCCGTCCCGGGGTACGTCCCTCCGTCTGTCTGTCTGCACGGGGTGGGCTGCCACACAGCTCAACCTGCGGCGGCCCCGTCTCCCTCCCCCCCCCCCCGCCTCCAGGTTCTCCCAAAACGCCTCGGAGCGGCTCCTCACCAGCGTCCTGCAGCTCAACCTCACACACGACGCCGACTTCGGGGTGTTTGCCTGCTGGGTCAGCAACGCCACGGCCACCTTCACCCTGCGGCGAGCGGGTAGGGACGTGCTGGGGACGGAGGAGGGACACCCCCAGGGAGGGTCCCGCTTAGGGCAGGAGCAGCAGCCCCACAGGGATCATCAAGGCGGGTGCTGGGGGGCATCACTGCCTCTCCCGGGGCAGCGCATCGGGGTGCCAGCCTGCACCAAAGCCAGAAAACCCAGGCCAGGGCCCCCCAGCCATGCTCAGCCTGCCCTCCCCTGTCCTTGCAGAGGTGGCAGGGCACGTGCCTGCGGTGCTGGCAGCCCTCCTGGTCCTGGCGTTTCTGGTGCTGCTGGCTGGGCTCTATGTCCGTTGCCGCCTGACCGTGCTCCTCTGGTACCGGAACCGCTACGGCGAGCTGGAGATCAACGGTGAGAGCCGCCGGGAAGGGCACAGAGGTGGTGCCCCCTCCTTGGGAAAAGCCTCCCCCCCCGCGGAGAGCCCTCCCCGGTGTTACACCCCCCGCCTTTCCCCACGGCTCTCCCCAGACGGGAAGCTCTACGACGCTTACATCTCCCACGCCACCACCCCGGATGACCGAAAGTTCGTCCACTTCATCGTGAAGCCGCAGCTGGAGAACCGCTACGGCTACAAGCTCTTCCTGGACGAGCAGACCATCCTGCCCAACTCGGGTAGGCACCGGGCCGGCGTGGGGGCGGGCAGAGGGGCGACGCCAGCACCCGGGGGCTTGAAATCCCTTTGCCCGCAGAGCCATCGGCCGACCTGATCATGAACGTGAGCCGGTGCCGGCGTCTCATCGTGGTCCTCTCCGTCGCGTACCTGGAGCAAGACTGGTGCAACAGCAGCTTCAGGTAGGAGCAGCCCCTGCCCGGTGCCGGGGGAGAGGAGCCGGCGGGGCCTTCGCCCTCCTGCCACGCGCCTGTCTCGCAGGGAAGGGCTTTGGAGGCTGCTGGAGCTTTCCAAGAAACCCATCTTCATCGTCTTCGAGAGCCAGTACCGGGAGATCACCCACCCTGCTATCAGCCTGCTGAAGCAGCACCGGAGCGCAGTGACCTTGCTGGTGTGGCGAGCCGGCTCCATGGTGAGACCCCCATCCCGCCGGCACCCCCGTTTCCATCCCCAGTGCCCCATTTTGTCAGCCTCCCCACGACGCTCTGGGGCTGCTCCCCGTGCTTCAGTGCTCCTAAAAAAGCAGGTTGGGGCACTTGTCTTGAAGAGGCAATTTTTTTTAAAAAAAAAAAAAAAAAAAAAAAAAAAACCAACAAACCAAACCAACCAAAGCAGCCCTAGATGTGGGCGCTCACTCCCCAGATTTGCACGACCAGCAGCCCCGTGCCACTCCGGGGTCCCCCGCCGCCGAGGCACCTGTGTGAAGCCTCAGCTCTCAGGGTGAAGCTTTGGCCCGTGGCTGCTCCGGCCATTTCAGGGCCAGGCTGGAGCTGGAGCCCTCCAGAGCATTTCAGCAGGTCGGGCCGGTTTCTCCACTGGTGCACGGGCAGGCTGCCACGCCGGGAGCTCAGCCCTCACCTTGGCCGAGCTCCCAGCGCTGGGATGGGTGAGCTGAGCCCCACAAAGCCTTCCCCAGCCCCGCACGGGGCCGGGCTTGGCTGCACGGTGGTCCCGACACGGCTCATCTCCTCCCTGCCCCACGCAGACCCCGTCATCGGACTTCTGGAAGGAGCTGTGCCTGGCCCTGCCCCGCAAGGTGTCCTTCCAGGGGACCATGGGGGACCCCCAGACTCAGCTGCAGGAGGACAAGGACCCCATGCTGATCCTGCACAGCAGCTACCTGGACAGCGGTGGAGACCTTCACCCAGATGGGGACCTCGGTACAGGTCCTTGTCCCCTGCTTCTTCTCCTGGGAGGGACAGATGTGCACTGGAGGGCACCTTAGGGCTTTGCTTCGCCCTCCCGTGGCAGGCGGGCTGGGTTTAGCCCCTTCCCCACCACCTAAAACCCATCTCCCCGCTCCTTCCAGGCTTCCGAGGGTGCGTTTTCAGAAGCCCCCCACCTCCCCGCATCGGCGGCCCCGGTGCTCCCACGGCTCTGGGTGCCGGCGCGACGGGGGACACGCAGCCGAGGGACGGCCAGAGACCCGAGCTCGACATCTCAGACCTGGGGTCGCGCAACTACGGCGCCCGCACGGACTTCTACTGCCTGGTGACGGAGGATGACATCTGAGCGGGGCCGCAGGATGGGAAAAGGCGGCAGCCCCCTTCCCTGCGGGGCCGCACAGACCCAGGTCACGGCCAGAGGAGCCCGGGCTTTGCGACGGGACCAAAACCAAGGTTCCAGGGCAGGGGGAAAGACAGGAGCTGGCTCCTTCTGGCAGCACGCTGCGTGGTGGAAAAGCAGCACCAGCGGACACCCCTGCCCCAAGCGCTCGGGCACCCTTGGGTGCTGGGCCCCCTCCCTCGCCGTGAGCAGCAGGGACATTTTTCTCACATGATGGAGAAGCACTGGGAGGGGTGATGCTCTCTGAGAGGCGATGTACCCCAGTCCCAGTGGCTCAAGGGTTGGGAAATGTCCCGGCTGCGGCACCCTCTCCCCCGTGGCAATAAAATGCTGCTGCACCGAGCGGGGTTTTTTTCCATCTGCGGGGACGCGGGTGCCACCGGTGGGTCTCCCCACCCCAGGCAGGTGTGTCCCCTCCCCGTGCCACATCCCACGCCGGCATCCCCGCCACGCTGACTCGGAGCAACACCTAGATGCGGTGAGCAGGGTGGCACGGCGGGGTGAGCTCACCCACACACCAGCATCCCGCAGGGACGAGCGCGGGGACGAGCGGGCATCGTTCAAGGCCTTTATTTCAGGGATACACAGGGCTCGGGGCGTTCGTACACGGAGAGCTGGGGAGACAAACGCACCCTGACGCCCAGCCCGGGCCGTGCCGCTCCTGGCAGCGCTGCCTGGTCTCCCCCCACCCTCCCACCCCTGTACCTACTCTACCTCATTTCCCAAAGGGGGTGCGCCATGCCCCCCCCCACCCCAAGCGCAGGGTCTCCCCACCCAGCCCCAAACCCGCCGGCAGACCGAAGCCCCCCCCGCAGCCCACCCGCGCCCGCTGTCCCTCCTGCGCCAGCCGCGCCGGGCACCCAGGGCATCTCCCCACCCTGCGGGGAGACGCCGCCCAGCAAACACAAGCAACAGCCGGCCCTGCCCCAATCCTGCTTACTCAGCACCGACCGGGCCCAGCCCCCAGCACAGCAGCCGGCAGCGGCGGCACAGGGACAGTCCCCCCGGGGTGTAGGGATGGGGACAACGTGGCCCGGAGGTCCCCTGGCTTCTTGGAGCAAGGGCATGGGCAGCCTCAATCACAACACCCCCCCTGCCCCAGCCCCGCCATCCCTGGCAAAGGGGGGGACTCGGCACCACGCCGCCAATACTGCCTCCCAGCTCCTTACAGCCGTGGAGACACCCCATAAAAATTTGGGAACCAACCCCGAGCTATGTGAAGCCCCGTCCCCACCCAGCCAGGGCAGAGCATGTGTGACCCATGTGTGCCACGAGCTGGGGAGCGCGGATGGGGTGCCCCCAGAAGCCCCCTTCCCCCTCAGCATCGCTTGCAGGAGCCTCCCCAAAGCCTCGCAGCTCCTGCCCCCCCCCGCTGAGCCACGGGACAAGCTGAGCTTTGCAGCCGGCTCCCCAGGAGCAGGAAGGGTCCCCAGGGGCTGAGGACCCTCAGGGGCTATGGGGCAGTCCCCCACTAACTGGGGTCCCAGCAGGACCCCACAGCAGAGCCAAAAGCAGTCGCTGCATTTAAGGCTGCAGAAGGAAGGAGGACAAGTGTCCCCCCGGCCCGGGGAAGGGGGACCCGGTGGAGGGGGGAGCTGAGGGACGTGGCGGGGACTACGCTACGGAGCGGGGGTCCAGTGGCACGGCCGGCAGCACGGAGGGGTCCCGGCGGGGGCAGCCAGGGCTGGGTGGTCCAGCTCGGGGGGTGTCCTCACAGGCCGAGGAAATCCTCCTTCCGGTACCCCTTCTGCAAGGAGACAGGCCACCCATCACCCGGGGCGGACGCCAGTGCCGTCACCTTCACCCTCAGCCCGGGGACACCCCTGCCCGCGCCCCGCTGGGACCGGCACCGCAAACCCGCCCTGCGCCGGCACCGAGGGCCACGCTGTCCCCACGCGGGGTGCGGGGCTGTCCCCACCCCACCGGTGCAGGTGCCACCGCGGGGACGGTGCTCTGGGGGCGTCCCCACCCCTTCGGGAGGGGGAGGCGTGGAGCTGGGGCCCGTTTTATGCCTGGTGTGGCTTTCCGGGGTGAAGCCACTTGACTCCCTTGAGATCCACCCTCAGGCTCCATCCCACGGGAGGAGGTGCTGGAGGGTGCTACGTACCATCTTGAAGTCCCGGTGGAGCTTGGTGTATTGCCACATGTTGCCCAGGAGGCTGGCTGCTGCTCTGGAGGACTTCTCGTTGTCCGAGCTGGGACAGGGACAGGACACCATGAGCTTTGGGTACCTCTGGGCACGAGATGGTGCCCACCAGCCCAGGGAGACCACCCCAGAAGGGCCCGGAGGGGCTGAGGACCTAGCACTGGTGGGAAGAGGCAGAAGACTAAAGGCTGGAGCCCACCGCAACGGGGAGGGCGGCAAACGCTTCTGGCAGGAGAGGTGAGAAGCACCCAGCTGGGTGGCTGCAGCGATGGGCAACCCCCTGGTGGGGTGTCCCGAGGAGGTGGCAAAAGGCTGGAAGGTGGCCATGAGGCCACTCTGAGCTGGTCTGGGGGCTCCCAACAGCAAGCCTTGGGGAGGGAGACTGGTCGTGACCCTCTTCCTCTTCGCTGGACCAGGGGAGGAAGGGGAGAGCAGGGCTGGATGCCGGGTCTGAGCTGGGACAGCAGAGCAGACAGGGAGCTCCTACCTGTCCCTCCTCTTCTTGATGAAGAAGAGCTTCCTGAGGCCATCAAAGTAGACGATGTCACGGGCAGCCATGGGGCTCTCCACCACCAGGTTGTTGAGGACCGCGATGATGTTCACGATGACATCGGCGGGCGGCGCCTTGTCCCCCACGCTCCCCGGCAGCTTCTCGATCAAGTGGCTGACCACCTTGGTCGCTGGTGGGCAAAAGCATCACGTCAGGGCTGGTGGCCAGGCCCGGGGGACACGGGGCAGCCTAGGGATGAACCCTGCAGCCTCCCGGGGCCGATGAGGGGACAGAGGGTCCAGCCAAGGACCTGCGGGGCAGCACCAGGCACATCTTCAAGCCCTGTGCTCCCTAGGGTCTCTGCTGAGACCCCCTTGGCACCTGGGAGAGGAGTTGGGGGGCGAGGACAAAGTGAGATGGTGGGGTTGGTGGCAGAGCACAGCACGTGGGGGATGGCCCAGCCACCGCACGCTCAGCTGTGAGCAGGGATGCGGCAGGCGGGACGGTGCGGAGGAATGGCTGGAGGCAACTGGAGGCCAGACCGAGGAGGAAAAGGGTGGGGGGGCGTCCGCCGGGCCCCCCGCCACGGCCCCGGCCCTGCCCGGCACTCACACATCTCGTCCTTGTTGCGGGCATGGCGGGACAGGTTGCGGATGAGCCCCGTCAGCGAGCGCAGCTGGTGGTGGTCGGCGGTGCGGACGCGGTCCAGCACGGGGTTCAGGATGCGCTCCTGCTCCAGGGCCAGCCGGCTCAGCACGCCCGCCCACTGTCGAGGCAAAACCCGCTTGGAGACTCCCACCGGGGACCCGCCGGCGGCCGCCTCCTCCCACCCCACCCTCCTCCTCCTCCTCCTCTGCAAGTCGGGGTGACCCGTACCCAGGTGGTGAGTACCCCGATGGCCATGTCCCCCACCCCGGGAAGGCCGGTACCAGCCCGCAGGGAGATGCGTCCCCTCCCGGGGCACGGTGGTGACTGGCCAGATCCTGGGGACAACCAGGCAACGTAGGGCAAGCCCCAGGGGATGCTGTGTCCCCCTCCCCATGCCCTCACCCTGCGGTCCCCGGCCGTGATGTTCTGCAGGGCACCCGAGGCCGCCTCCGTGGTGTGCTTGTTGAGCTCGCAGCGCTGCAGCAGCCGGTTGTAGATGCCCACGATCTGCGGGTTCCAGAGCCACTCCATGCCCTTGGGGTCCTTGGAGACCTCCGTGAAGGTGACGATGTCCGCATTCAGGTAGTGCTGCGGGGATGGGGGCGGCACCGTTAGACACAGAGGGGGATGTCCACAGCATCTGTCTCTGCCTTCTCCCCAGGTGCCTGGCCTCAACCGTCGGGCAGCTCCAGGCTGGCAGGGACCTGGCAGGCCACCCTGGCTGCGTCATGCCCCATGGCATGGAAAAGTGGGGGTTCGTCGCCCTGATTCACCCCACACACCTGATTCACCCTGCGCTGAGCTCACCCGCGTGTCCCACCCACCAGCCGAGGCCGGCGTCCACCTCCGCCCCAGCGTCACCTCCAGTGCCAGCCGCTTCCCAGTGCCAACCCCGCCCCGGGTGACACGGCCGTCACCGTGCCCACCGCTTCCCAGCCGCTGACCTCTCGTGCTTTCTTGCTCTGGGGGCTGAAGCAGCCCACCAGCTCCCCCGTCACCATGTTGCTGTTGTTCCTCCTGTGGCCTTCCAGGCGCTGGAGGGAGGACGGGGGCATCTCGTCGTAGAGGCGGTAGGAGAGGTTGCGCAGGACGCAGACGGCGTTCTCCACGCTCTGGGGGCCAGGGGACATGAGGGTGTCAGTCCTTGTGCCGCCTGCCAGGGCACCTCCAGCTGGCACATCCCCTGGGGCGTGATCCCATGGCCAGCGTCACCCCGAAGACACCAGCGGTGCTCCACTGTGCCCAGTAAGCCCGGATGGAGCCAGGCTGGTTTTCCCACCATCACACCAAGAGAAGTCTTTGCACCACGATGGGCAGGTGGGAGGGAGCAGCACCCCATCCGAGAGCACCCAAACCCCCCCAGCACCCAGCTCCTAGGGCTCACCTTGTCCTCAGACTTGCCCACTTCCAGGGAGCTGTTCACGTAGTGGATCATGGAGTCCACCAGCCCGTGGCATTCGCGCATCTTCTGCCGGGTCTGCTGGCTGGCAGAGCTGAGGTTCCTGCACGGGGAACACGGGTCCATCACGGCAAGAAGGGGCTTCCCCACGGCCACCCCCCCCAGCTCCTGACGCTGGGCACCACCACAGGGAGGGTGGCTAATTCCTCTGCCATGGGGGTGAGCGGGCTTTGCCTTGATGCACAAGTGCTGCAGGGGACGGGGACCCCAGAAATGAGCCCTACAGACCTTGCTTCTTATGTATGCAGCACAGATGGGGTCTCTTCCCCCACCCAAAACCTTACTCACACTGGGAAGACCGGAGCCAGCCCAGAGCAGGTACCTGAGGAAGCCTGTGGAGTTGTAGAAGATCTCTGCCTCTGAGGGGTTCTGCTGGATGACACCCGAGCCCCCCAGCCCGGAGAGGGGCACCAGGACCAGGTCCGTGAGCTGCTCCAGCGTGTCCCGGGCCAGGCGATCCTTCAGGTTGTCACTGGAGGAGAGATTCCACAGAATCCCTGCGCAGAGGAGGATCCTCAGTCCCAGGGGTGGCTGGAGAGCACACCCACCCCAACTCAGCGCCCAGGGCGGGCTCAGGCCGACCACGGGGCAGGGTGGGCA